GATCTTCACCAGGTAGAATGAAGAAACTAGTGTATACTCATAGAAATAGGTTTAGCACCCAAAAGCCTCTTTCAAGAGACAAACTGATGCTTCTATTTCACTCTCATAAGCCTATCAACTTCTGTTTTCTTCTAAACTCAGCTGACATTTCAAAGAACCCTTAAAAATACATTTAGAGACAACCATACTCACATTTAAGACATTTTAGTCAGCTTTTTCAAATTTGATTATAGAAGCCAATTTTGTTTGCTCAGTATACATTTGTTTTCTGCTAATTAAAACAAGGAAATTCCCCACCCAATTATTTACGAAAATTCTTGCTTCACATTGCTTTTAAGACCCAAATTTACTTTCATCTCCCCTCCTTTCTGTCAGAATCAAGCAAGCAAATAGTTGGAGCTGACTAAAAAGGCTTCTGCACAGGGACTTACACAGCTTCAAGAAAAGCAGCAAAAACTGTACAATATATACAAAGATAATCAGTTTGGTCCCTATTTAGTAGTTGAAAAATTAACATCTTCCTATTTTACTCTAACTTTTTATAGAATCATATAAGTGTCATTTAGTAATCCTTATTAGTTCTTTAGATTCAGAATGGAAAATATCAAATTAAAAAAAAAAATTAACTCAATTACTTATTTATATTTGTGAAGTGAATTATTTTTCTAAATTTACTTTTGCAATAAATAAGAATTTTACAACTTGGTTTTCACTTATAAAATTCAAATAATGGATCTAGATAATTTAGAACCCTAGACACTTTCACTAGCTTTCTGCAAAACTGCAATTAGAAAGCTAATTCAAGCTAGGATCTAGCATGGCTGTGAGTTAAATTGATTTTTCTATTTGAATAAACAAAACAATATCAATTTATCCAAGTAAAATTTCAGTATCTCAAACAGTACATAGGATTTTGATTTCTAAGAATCTAATTCTATGATTGTATTTAGATTGTCTTAAAATAATAATACTTTTATTATGGAATTTCAGTGGGAGTCATATTTCCCCCAAGAACTTTTGGATAAAATTTGAAAATCTTATAAGTGAAAAACCTAAAAAAAAATTAAAATATTTCTTCTTGTTTCATATTATGTTGGTTTATTGTAAGTTTTTATGTCACTCTATTTTGTAAACTGTTGTTATGAGAAAAAAAATCCGTTTTTAATGTTGCAGTATAAGCTGAGTGGGATGGATTGTTGTCATATTTAAAATATACAAAATTGTAACATAATAATAAAAAAAACTCCCAAAGGGGAAAACTAAATTTTATCTTAAGAATGGAATGGTTACCAAATACAAAGCTTTCATTTACAGCATAGAGACCAATTTTAGATGCAGACATTCCAACAAGAACCAAATATATTCATCCTGGCATCATCCTTTCCAATAGACTGTACTTTGTACAAACTGCTTGAATATCAAAAAATATGGGAGGAGCCAAGAGAACACTTTGAGCCACTACCACCTGGTAACTAAGAGAAGAACTTTTCATCTAATGCAGAAGCTGCAAAGGGCAGCTGATTGGCTAATAGATTAGCCAATGATATCACACATTATCATCATTTATCTTTTTTTTTTCAATAGATAAGGACAGATATAGATATTTCTTTTGTACAAAATGAGTATTTAGACTGACTATCCAATATTTAGGGGTACACACTTTCCATTTTAAAGTTGGAAACCAGCAAAATCAGGACTTGAAAATTTACCCATCATCAACTTAAAAAAAATTATTTTTGATTGCTTTTTACAAAATTTTCAAGTTAATTTTTGAAGAATTTGCACCATTCGAAACAAAATTCAGTAAATATCCTTTTCTTGTCATTGGTATAAAACTAGCAAGAAATGCTGAAAAAGAATAATTTTAAAAATCACACGGGGAAATATTAACAAATTTAATCTATTGGATAAGCTTTGTAACTACTGGATTTAGTTTTGGGAAGAGATCAACAAGAAAAGATATATTGCCCATTTTGAAAAAATTAGTGCTCAAAATTATCCTCCATTTTGATCCACAGCAAAATGCTAGATTTTGATAAGCTTTTTAAGATATAAAAGCCAGTTTTCTTTGTCAACCGTGTCTGTTCATTTGTATTTAAATCTTGTTACATGAAAAATATGGTTGGCAAAATAAAATTATTAGTTAATAATAATAAAATCTCAAGTTAATTTGATTTTGACAATATTGGGCACTTCACATATTTAGAAAAGCTCATCTTGTAGAACAATTAATGTAGTGAGCTTGACATGTGCCATGTGACTGTAGCCTAGGTAACATGATAATCTAGTAAATCTCTCATATCTAAAGACAGATTTATGCATCTTATTTTTCTGATTGTAAAATAAAGCTTTGTTTTTGACTAAGAGAAAAAGTTTAATTGGATAGGAACTGAAGAAAATGAACATGATATAAATCTGCTTGAAGAGTTTTATTGATGTTTTTAACATTTCTAGTTAGAGTGAATTATTATAAAATTTACTCTGCAAAGACAACCAAGCTTAACCAGAACATGGTTGACCATGTTAGTTTTAATAACTCAATTTTAGAATGAGCATAGTTGGGGAGATATTTTTCAAATTTTATCTAAAACTTATTTTTTAATACAAGTATATATCTGGTTGTGTTAAATATGTCACAAGGCAGGTTTTTGTCTTGAATGTTGGAAGAGTTACCATTATTTCATACTAGTCTGTAAGTATTTCATAATACTGTTAGATTCTGTCAAGTAGTTAATTACAAGTTATGTTTTTAATATAATTCATATAAAAGAAATGTACAATTGTTAACAACTTACTATAAGTATCAATTTAAAATAGAGAAAATAATAATTTCCTAAAAACTTCTGTGTGTTTCTTTCAATATAATGTGTAACTTAAGCCTGTCATCAGACAAGTCGGTCTCTTTCTATGTGATATTTTTTTTTTGTTTACCCTTTCAATTTCTTTTTATTAACTATGAAGCCAATAACCAACTTTTCACCTGAAACACTTGAATGGTTTAATAAGAAATCCCACCTAACAAGAATTTTGTTAGGTGACAAGAAAAAAGAAAAACAGGCCAGTGAAATTCTTATGTTTCCCATCAATTCACATCTAAATATGTTGATGATGGGTTTCATCCAAGTCTGGAGGAAGAGGAAAAAAATGCCTTCAGCATTGGCTGCAAGTAAATAAAAAAATAATTGTTTAAGTAGATAGAAACATTATATTGTTGTAATTAATTATAATAATTATTTAGAGAAATAAATAGAATTTAACGAAAAATATACATACATGTGGTAATGTGGTACATAATATTGTAACTGGTACAAATCTACAATGCTGTGAATTTATTGTTTAAATATTATTTGCAAAGGTTTCAAGAATATACTTTGTAAATAATGCAACAACAAACAAAACCAAATATTTCTCTTCTTTTTTTAAAAGAAAGAAAAACAGAAAAAATGAACAAATATAAGCATATTAGATAAGTAATTTTTTTTTTCTGCATTGAATTTTTTTTCTTTCTTTTTTAAGGTGTAAAACCATAATTTGCTCAGGCAATGTGATAGTGTGCTGCTTTGTCATTGGAACTAAAAAGTAATCTCTGCATGTGGGACGGGGTATGTTTAAGCAAGAACATATACATGTCAAGTTTACTTAAAATGAAAACATCTTTTTTCTTTTTTTTTTTTTCACTGAATAACGTTCACAGATTTTTTTTCTTCTCTTTTTGTGAGTGCCATGCAGGTGTGAACAATCTTGTAACAATGAATAGCACACAGGGTTTCCATTCTTGCAGTCAGTCATAAAAAGGTTCTGATTTTTTGTTGTTTTTTCCACAATTTGTCATTCATGTCATTCAAGTGTTCAGGTGGATTTTCAGTGCCTGTGTCCAAAGAAAAAAAAAAAAAAAAAAAAATAAAAAATAAACTCCCTAGTGAGCGTTTAGATGTTTTTTACAATTCAAATGCTCTATATTGTTTTTTTAGATTTGGGAGGGAACAAAATAAAAACATGTGAATCACCAAAACAGTGATTCAGGCTACAATTGGTGTCAAGAGGAAGCCACCAAAATAGCCTCAGTCAGTGCGCTGAGGGCAGGGCTAGTGGATACAAGCCAACTTATAAATGATTACTTGCAATCAGTGTGATCATTGTGCTGCATCCTAGTAAGAGATAACAATCCCAGAATGCATCACAACATTAATAACTATGGACTGTCAGATTTGGAGGTAGTATAACTTCTCCTCTAAGCATCTGAGTGTTTATATTTAATTTCAATATTTAATACCATCTTCTTGGAAATATAACAATTAGGATATCAACAACATAATACAGTTGAAAAATATGCATTAAATTCTAGTCTAATGCATAAGATTCTATAGAAAGTTTTAAACCAATAAAACTAGAGACAAATAATAATTATTACATGTGCTTAGGAGCAGAAGTTTTGGAGGTTTGGGGTTTTTGTTTTGGTTGGAGCTTTGCTTTTTCTTCTTTTTTTTTTAATTTCTTTTTTTCAAGAAAAAACTTGAAAATTACAAAATATTGTTTTGTCAGCTGGGAACAACAAACAAGTTACTCTGGCATAAAGCTGCACTGACTTTGGAAAATGTTGTCAATCAATTGAAACTTGGCAAATATATTTACAGAACATTTTAAAAAATGTTCAATATTGATCAGGCTGTACAGAATGGGTTCAAAGATACAAGAATCTGTCTTTAGTTTATGCTTTTGGTTTCTCAACTGGTATTAGTATAAGTGTCTAGCATGTGTGTGTGTGTGTGTATATATTTGTTTCAATTTAATGTAAGCCTATAGGTAATTGTAATTGTGAATCTGCTGCAATCAAGCAAAATCACTAAAAAAAAAATGTTCTTTTACGAAAATCTTTGTCTTATTTCTCTCAACTTAAGAAAGTGTTTTTATTGCTTTATACAAATGAATCAAGGACCATGGCAATATATTAGTTCTTCTCAATTCTATGATAGCCTAGCATTTGTCATGGATGAACAAACTCAAAGAGCCGTCTCTTCCCTGAAAGCAAAGAGGGAGGAAGTTGAATTCTCTTCTTCTTCATCCACTTCAAGTATTTCAGCATTGGAAAAGTCAACAGCTACAGGTGATGAGGAAACAGCAGCAGAGGTGTTGGAAGGAGAGGATGTCATATTATCAGAATTTGCAGGAACTCTGGAGGTTTCTCCAAAGGCAGCAGCTTCAAGGTTTTCATCAGGGTTGGCATTGTGCATGCTGGCAAGTTCTAAACACTCACTCCGTAAACGTAACAACAGACGCTGGAGATCAGCGTTGTTTGGTACAAGGAACACGGCCTGTTTTAAATCCTCAAGAGCACTCTCAAATTGTCTGCAATGAAGAATTAAAAAAAAAGAGTCAGGTAACAATGAAAACAGATTGGTTCAAATTTATAAAATACTGTACAGAGAAAAATTGAAAAGCAATTTTTAAAAATAATAACATGCTAAACTCTGCTCTTATTCTCATATATCTGTTACTCTAGGGATTGATTCTAGGGAGCATTTAATCATAAGGCTTTTAACATCATCAACTGAAGTGTCATGTTAAGATGTTGTCTCTATGGTGATGACTGCATCATCAACATTTGAATTAAGATGTCACTATGGTGTAAATTGCATCACCAGTATCTGAGTTGGCAGGCTTTACTTGAATCTTGATTGATGACATGGATTACATCCTCATCATTATCAGTAAAAAAAAAAATAAAAACAGACAATATGGTTTTTTGTAATTGATCCTATTATTATTTTATTTATTTATTTATTTTTTTTTTACACACACTAAATTAAAATCCTTTAGCATAACCATGTTAAATAATTTAAAGTTTTCCTTTAAAAAAGCTTTTGACACAAAGCAAGAAAACATTTTTTCCATTTAGAAATCAAGGGATACAGTCTCAGTAATATTTTTGAAGAACACAAGAAAAGACTGACTCAAGATTTTAATATTTACAATTCATACATGGAAGATTGAAATTGATCACTTATAATATTGTCAACTTTATGACTATGATCATAAAAGGTTGTAATCACTGGAAATGCAAAGGTTGCAGCTTCCATATTTCAAAACAAAAAGAATAAGCTTCTGTTGATTTGTGTTACTAAGGCTCAAAGAATTTCCTTTTTCACATTAAAGCTATTATAAAGACAGCACACAAGGGGGTGCTGAAAAGTTCTCAACTTAATTAAGAAGGGATTTTAAAAAACATCTGATGTTTGGTTATTTTGGTCAGATTTTGGAAAGTGAGTCAAGCTGAGAACTCAAATATAGATATAAAGTACACACACACACACATCCATTTCCAAAACAGAATTAAAATCACTCCAAGAGATAAAAACTACTTCTATGTGCTGTGTCTCTTCAGGACATTGGTGATTCTGGCTCTCCACAATGTCCTTTGTAGCTCTTAATAAATTTTGCCCTTTTTGTTATCTCTCCTAAAACTTGCACTACCATCCATTTACTCAAGGTTTCTTGGTAGGTTATTCATTATTTTCCTCTCTCCCTCTTCCCTTCAATCTGTTCTGTATCAAATTTTCCAAGCACTCTTTCCTCATTATGTACCCTAGAAATTTCAGCTATCTTTTTGTTTTGATTTTCTCTAAAACTTCATAGGATGTTATTCTTGGCATCCTTCTTTAGAACCACATTTCTGTTGCTTCAAGACTCTTCATCTGTGAAGAAATTGTTCAGCATTCATTGTCATATAGTAGGAATGATATTACATAACAGTTCAATATTCTATTCTTTGTTTCTTACAATTCCTTTTCTTGTTCTTAATACTTTGCTTAATTTTTGGAAGGCATCTTTTGCTATCCCAATGCGTCTTTTGATTTCAGTGTCAGACTTTCCATCCTCTGTTAAAATACTTTCCAGGTATTTAAATTGTTGTACTTGCTTCAGTTTGATATCTCCAATTTGTAATTTGAATGTTGAGTTATTCCTTTTGATAACAACCATGCATCTAGTCTGTTTGTAAATGATGTTTAGTCTGTTCTTCTTGTTTTCCCTCACCTTCTGTAGGGAGTCTTGTAGTTTTCTTTGAGTCTGCTATCAACACTGTGTCATCTGCTTAGGTTGTTAATATTGTGGCTGCCAATAATGAAGTCCTGGTAGGACTTGTAATTCCCTCAGAATTGCCTCACTGAATAGTTTGAATAAGTCCAGTGAGAAAACACATTCTTGTCTTATACACCTTTCTATTTTAATATATTTACTGAACTCATTTTCTATCCATATGCAGCTTCTGGATTATTCTATTATCCTTCACAAATATGCCAAGAAGTATACATAAGGTTCTAATTTTCACATCCCTTTTGTAAAAATTGTATTTTGTCAGAACAATTACAACTGAGTAGTGAGTTCAAACCTCACTTGGTACCACATACTTTCAGCCTTGTACCACATTTAAAGCTACCCTTAGAAAATCACCATTTTGTAAAAATTGTATTATGGAACCTTCTAAATTAAAAACGTTACCCCACTTCTTTACAAATAGACTCTTCTAAGACTAAATAAATAAGCTAGATTTTTCTGTTTCAATAAATGCTCTGGCTATCTGCCTAAGCATTTGGGTTTGATTAAAAGTAAAATATCTTTCATTTCCATGGGTGTCTGTTCTAAGGTAGCTGCACTAACAGGGAAGAGAATCAGGGTCAATCCCTGATGTCTGAAGCATCCCAATAGGTAAGTGCTGAGGGTGCTAAGCAATTTTTGTTACCAATTCCATGTATGTGTGGGACTCCTATTTGAAATACAGGCTTGTACTACATTTCAGATGATGACTTTTTGCAATTGTGATGTAACAGACTGAAAGACAATGGTTTTGGGAAGAATAAATTGACCACTTTCAGTGCTTTTTTTAGGAATTAATAAAAATTAAACTTACTTGTTGTCTCGGCGTGCCCGTGCACGAGCATAAAATCCTTCAAATGATTTCGGACGAATTTCAAGAACTTTGGTAGCCAGATCTATTGCAGTAGTATAATCCTGCAAAAGACAAGATTCTCAGAATCAAAAAAAGGAAAAATTAATTCAGGAATGATTCTTCAAGGAATTGTGAAAATTCCTGAACAAATCAATCTCAATAAATGTTGAAGAAAAGATGTAGAAGGCAACAGTAGCCAGTCATCGAATTAAACTGAGATGAATAATAAACTACAAATTTCTTCTTATACATGACATGTATTCTTACTGCATTAACATTTTATAGCTTATCAAAAGTAATATCTTGATCTTTCTAAAAGTTGATATTATTTGAGTCTAAAATCATTTAACTGCAAATCAAATAAGATTAACTCTTTCTCATCTTTTATTATACAGTTACATCAAATGCTATGCTTTACCCAAAAGTAAACCTCAACCTTTATTTAAAGGATAGAATGCAATAAAGCTATAAAGAAATTCATACTATGGAAATGCATATTAATACAATTATTTTTAATGTATTGATTCTGTTTGAAACAGACCCATTACAACAGACCCATTACAACAGACCCATTACAACAGACCCATTACAACAGACCCATTACAAGAATTAATGTTTAAAATAGAATCAAGATATCTTTTTATAACGAATATTATATTTTTAATAGAATCAACAAAAAAAAACGTTGATCTTCACAACAAAAATGACTTCATTTTAAAACAGAAAAAATGCAATATAAAATTGTAAATAATTATTTCTTTTTTCTGTACTAATAAAATATAAAAAAATAAATACTGCATTCCAGAACGGGAAAGATATACATTCAAATTTCTGCACATTATTTGTGTTTTTCTACTTGGTTTTCAGATTGCATTGAAATATCCTCAAATATTCAACTTACTTGCAGTTTCCTTTTACATTTTGAGAGACTGAGTAAAAGATTAACTCGCAAATCACGGAAAGTACGGGCATCATCACCAAAACCATCTTTGGGGAATTTCTTGAGAGCATAATTAAAGCGCTGAGCTGCTTCTTTGATGCGATTCCTCTGAAAAAAAAAATTGTTTTAATGAAATTTGTGTCCAGGCATTAAAATACAAAAGTGTCATTAATTTTCATCAAATTTAATTGATCATCAAAATCTCGACTTTCTGTTCTTTGATAAAATGATCTTTCAAATATTCTAAAACAATTGAACATTTTGTTTTCCCAATTAGAACAAACTAAATAATTTTGTAACTCTAATAATTAAACTCTGAAAGAGAGAAATTATTCATTATTTTTAAATATGAATAATAATAATGAGAATTAACAACAAATAAACTTTTACTGAAAGTAAGCAAAAGAAATGTTCAGCTCTTAAATCTTATATATTGTGTTATATTTTGGTTTTGACTGCAAAAAAAACAAACTTTTAAATATTTTTGTTTATGATAGAAGAAAATTTGCATCAGTTCTGGCAGCTGCTAGGAGGCATTAGCAGAGTATTATTTTCGGTAATGGTTTATAAGTAAAGGCCATAAGTGTGGGGGCACTCTTGTAAGGCGTTCTACAACTCTTATGGCCTTATGCCAGCCCCCCCCACTATGTCCCCATACATACAAAAGACACTTAGGAAAGACTAAGTTTAATAGATCTCATCATGTCAGATGAATTGTTAAAGTCTTATAATTGTTGGATGTCATCCCTTGACAAAAACACAAATGTCAGTTTCTTATTAGATAATGAAATGTAAAATAAATTGTTTTTGTCATTATTCAAAATGAAAATCAAAACCTTCTTACTTTGTAAAGAATGTTTCCATCTTCCATAAGTTTCTTCAGTAGCACAAGCAAAACTGTTGGCTTACCCGATGCCATATTCCAGGTAGCAGGACCTATCAAAGAGATTGTTCAGTTAACATTTTTCTTTAAAAACCAATTAATAATGTGTGTGTATATAAGATGTTATACATATGGCATAGAACAACTTTTATTCACAATACACAGTTTAAAAAGAGAAATACTATATTAATGTAACTATTAAAAATGATAATGTCAATATATTAATTTGTAAAGCTGAAGAATTTTACATAATGCTATTTACTCTCAATACAAGTTGATTTAGAAAATGATACATTAACAAGTTTCTCTGATTTTTCTCAATACAATGTTATTTTGAGACTAGCATGGATACAGAGTGGCTTGGAAGATCTCTGAATAATGGTTTATTATTGACAATTTATTGATATTTTTCAGCCATCTTATGGAAAATAATTTTTTATTCAATCATTAAAAAAATAAACTTCATTGTTTTTTTGGTTTGTTACAAAATAACTAAATTTAGGAAAATATCGCACTACCAATACCACGCTCCTTGGGGTGTGAGCATTTTTATTAAAAAAAACTCATGATTTTTCAATTTAAATACTAATATAAATGCTCTGAATAATATTGTTTTCAAACAAATCAAACTTAGATAAAAGTTCATTAACCTTTTTTTCAAATTATTAATAAAAAAGTTAATTAAGATATGTTTAAGCATGCTTAATTTAATCATTTTTTCAAGTAAAAACTATAGCAAGCCTTACTTCTTTGAAAAATAATTATTTAGTATTTATTTTGGAGGAGAATTTAGATTTTTTAAGTAAATAAAATTTTACTTTTAAAAATTAATAACTAACTATTTTGAAAGAGAGTAGAAGCAAGGTACTTTGAGAATTTAGTTTTGAAAAGCAATTATGTTTAAATTTCAAGTTATATTTTTATTTGAAAAGAAAAAAATCTTAATTAATCTTAATTTAAATTAATTTTTGAAGAAATAATGCCCACTATAGTTTTTTTGCTTTAATAAAACTTAATTGAAAATTATTTACTTTTTTATATTAGTTACAAACCAAAAAAACAATGAAGTTTATTTTTTTAAAGAGTGAATAAAAAAAGTATGTCTGAAAAATATTAATAAGTCAATAACACACACACACACATACATACATACAGACAACTGTCCTTTAGGGTGATACTGAGTCTGTATATTTATTTTATAGACGGGCAAACACACACAAAAATATTTGTTGGTTTAATATTCATTTTTTTTTTTAAGTTATGTTTTTATTTCCTATAGATGTGAAAATAAATTCAAGAGAATAGAAATTTTAAAATTACATACATGTCTAGCATTTAACAGATTAAAAATGTAAAAATGAATGGTAATCCTAATCGGGAATAAAAATTATTACTGTTCATTTTTATTTTTTAATTCTGAGAATTTCAAATGCATTCTAATGCATTTTAATTTCAAAATATCTTTGTAAATACAAATCATATGATGCTAATTTTTCTTTTTTACAAAAAGCTGGCTTGGGTGATAATGAGTCTGTATACATATTTACTTTGTCATAACAATTGTAGTTTTTAGTTTTATCTGGACACTCACACACACACACACACACACACACAACTGCCCTTTATATATGTATAGATATAGATGGGCTTCTTCATTAAATTAAGCAACATTAACATTTTTAAAAGCATTAACTAGTAATGAACTACTTGTTGCATGATAAATAATCCTATATTTTATTGAATACAGTAGTGACTAATCTGATTGGTGAGGATTACTCACTTAATTTGGCTCCTTTCTTCAAAAAACACATTATCACATCAACATTCTTGCAAGCAATGGCTCTATCCAGGGGCCGCATGCTATTGCTATCTACTTGTTCAATGTTTGCTCCTTGGTCAATCAAGTACTGCACCTGAAACAACAAAAATACAAGTTCAATGTAAAGTGACAAAAGAAGGAAAAATGTACTAATGAACAAATAAAATTTGTGTTTGATTGCCATAATAATATACAAGCAATGTTTGTTTTAACATTTAAATGACAACGTATCATCCAGATTATAACTGACAATGGCTATAGGAGTTATTGTCTGATCTAGCTGGGCAGTAATTGCAAAAAGCTTTTCCTCTCTCTTCATAATGTCAAGATGGTTGGCATGGAATTAAGTCTATTCTTCTAGGTTCTTCATCAAGTTTTCCCTTCTCAGGGTGATTGAATAGAAGGCAGTTTTAAAATGCTCATCTTAGCAGCATCAACAAGAAAAAATACAACTGTTATTAGTTTCAAATACTAAATTTCCTTCAATGTTATTGTTCTAACTGAAAATAAATACTGTATGATTAAAACTTAAAAAGTAAAATTATTGATGGATTTATAAGATTTTAAGACAGTAAAAAGTATTTTCAGATTTAAATAATAAACAAAAGTATGTTTGCACATGAAAAAATAAATAGTAAAAAATTGTAAACAGGGAGGTTTTGGGATGAGTGGATAATTTTCCTTTAACACCTGGATTTGCAGGTAAACTTTATATTTGGCTAGGAAATATGAAGTCAGTAATAAGTCAATTAATAATAATAATTAAGAAATCAATCACTTTAATTTTTATTTCAAATAATGAGATATAACAATATTTACTGACAAATGAAGTATACAAAAGGCAATTTATTATTATTAATGTATTCTTTAAATTAAACTCTAACTACAGTTCTCAGATATGTAACAATAAAATTGATAAATACATTGTTAACTCTAAATATGATTTGATTGATTTGTATATTTAATGGCATATCAATTTCTTATGGGTCATTCAATGCTGAAATTTAATTTTCTAGAGAGCTTTGAAGTAATAAAAATAATATGTTATTCTACTTCCACAATTGAATACATGGTAGATGATACCCAGCTTTTGTGCATATACATGTTTTTGTGGACATAATTACTAGAGGTGGTGATATGTGTGTTTTATGTTGTAGTTTTGTTGAAGTTATATTTTGGAATACTGTTTGATTTTGATTTTTGATTTTATTTTTTATGTTGGTTGGTTGGTTGATTTTGTTTAGCGACATAATAACCTGAATGGGTCATTCAATGTTGAAACATAAATAATTTGAACAATTTTATGGCTTCAACTAAATATATTTTGAATGCAATTGTATGCCTTCAACTACTGATAAAATATATAGCTGGTCATGTTACTTTGAAAATGTTGCTAATTTTACTATAAATAGATATTGTTGCTAATTTTTTGTTTTTACATAAAAATGTATTTCTGGTATTTTTATACTTTCATAGTTTTTTGTTTGAAGATTCACTATTTGCCTATAGCTGGGACTCTAACAGGTGCTACCACCCTGACCCAGGGTGGACCTGGGAAGAGGAGCAATTAAGAGGGCGGTTCTGTGCACCAAAATCTTTCAATCTCCTGATCAGAAGCCTTGCTGCTGGATGTGTTAACTCAAAATCGAAATTTAACAATGAAAATAGAGATAAAAAAAAATGAAAAGAATTCCTTGCAAATATTAATCTCTAATTTACATTCCTTTTAGCCAAAAGTTATAAAAAATTGTGATTATTACAAGAAATATTAATAAAATATATTATTTATAATGATAATCTTAATTTAGTTAATTTTTTTTAAACTCAGTGGTAAACTTCAGTTTTTATATGCAGTTTTCATTTTACTGTTTTTTTATATGCAGTTTTACTGGGTTTATAAAACTCAATGGTAAACTTCAGTTTTTTAAACTCAGTGGTAAACTTCAGTTTTCATTTTACTGGTTTTTTATATGCAGTTTTCATTTTACTGGTTTTCTCATTTGATTTGACTGTAGGCAAGAATATCAGAGTTCTCTTCCTTTGATTATAAAACATGACAGAATTGTTTTCTGTTTTCTTTTGCCCAAACTTGAGAATATTTTCATTTGGTATTATCATTATATGCAATTATTTGTAATTTTTATAAAAAATAAAAAGTATGTACTTACAATTTGGGGCTCTCCATAGAATGCAGCTAGGTGCAAGGGAGTCTGCCCACTCTTGTCAACATGGTGTAAATCAGAACCATGACTAAGAAGTATTTGTACTATTTGCAGATGGCCATGCAGGCAGGCCAAACACAATGCTGTCATTCCTTCAGTATCCACTTCAGTTTGGCTTGCCTCTGAGAAATTTTGAAAAAACAAAGAAAACTTAATGAATTTTTTTTTTTTTTTTTTACCTTCTATATTTATGAATAAGTAGGCATAGATTTTACAACATAATATAGGTACAGAATATTCACTTTGACACAAATAACTAAATATGACATCATCATCATCATCTTTGAGTAGTGGATTAAAACAATTAAAAATATTGGTAATTTTCAATCTCCTCTTGGGATAAATACATCATCTATAATTGTTGCATTCATAAAATATAAATCAATCCAGGTACATAATAGTCATTAGAGAGCATTTTGCTAACTACAATTTGGATTTTAACAAGCTACATTTACATAGTACCAAATTTATTGTTTCTCTCTCCAAATATAAAATAAATACTTATCAGAATCTCCAAAAATTTTAATGACCAGAACTTAACAGCTGATCTCTCATCTGATCTAACTCTAACAGCCCAATGGGGGAAAAATTGGCTTGTAAGGTGCTTATATTTGCATAATGCTAAAGTAGTAACTTTACATCATCACCAAGTTGACTGGTTGCACTCACAGAGAGTGTCAATTGGGACTCAAATTCATTCCATAAATCAATTGGAACTTATATGAAACATTGCTAAAGGCACTGCCAAAATGGTTGGTTCTTTATATCACTCTAAAAAGTAAACTCCTCCAGCCATGCTCGATCTTTACCAGAGTCAGATCAATCCAAACAAACCAAAAATGGAGTATAGTTGCCATATCTGGGCTGGCTGCTCGATCCTCTTTTTGCCAGCTTCAACAGAGTTCAAGATCCTTTATGTGGCCTTGTGGCTGATGGATTATTTTCCACCCTATAAACCCTCTCCAATAGATCTAACATTGCAAGCCTACTGCTACGTTATCACTATAATCCATGAAAAATGTTCTGGCTAGCTACATTCCCTACTTCCAACAGTTCAGACTGAGACCCAACATACCATATACAAAGGGGTGAACCATCCTAATTTCCATCATATACTATTGGTAATAAGGAAGTTCCATTCAGATATCTTCTTTCCAAGAGTCACAGATTGCCAAGAGGATGCTTCCCTGACCACTACAATCTTAACTTTGTCTAGGGTCAACTGTTATCTTACATATCCTCATAATCTATAATTCTTATATCCATAAAACAACACCATTCAGTAACACTCTACTTTGAGTGGCTCTTGGGCCTTGTATTTGATGAACAATGGCATAAAAAAGAATCTAAAGCCTTATTTGCTGAATGATGACAACATTTATCTATACAGTTCATTTTGTGAATGAAATATGACTTTTAAGTCTCAAATGTTATGGGTTTGAAGCTTTAAAATAAATTTTAATGCTGATTTGATGGATAAAAAGAAATGGTGTATAACTTTAGAGCTTGCAAAAGGGAAAGCTGTTGGAAATTGTAAAAATGATTGACAAACAACTCCAATGCAAGAACAAGAAGTTTATCTCACTGATCTGTGTTCTGTATCAAGGGATAGATTATAAAAAGAAATCACATTTTATCAAAGTATGAAATTTTTAGACACTATGACAGTGAAGAAATGTTGAAAAGCACAATATTCTAAATCAATTGGCAAAATATTTGAGACTGATCATTATGCCTCCTTTAAAAAATACATCCATAAGGGAAATCAAATGAAATGGATATCAAAACACACAGGCCAATTGATCTTTCTTTCTGCTAACAAATACTGTACTTTTCTCAATGGGCCAGACAGACAGAGCATAGGCTGGGTGGAAGACATCATGAATTTCACATGATGTTAAGATGAAAGGTCAAACATTGATTTTATTTTTTAGTGGTAGATGTGGAGCCATAATTCAAGAAGAAGCTAAACACTTTCAGAAAGAATGTGATTTTGTACATGACAATGCTCCATTACAACCTACAAAGAAAACTAGTGAAGATATGAATAAATATGTTTCAAAATCACTCATTTGATTAAGTGGCCACCTTGTTTGCCTGAGCTTAAACAGAATGAAAACTTGTGGAGCATTCGTAAGAAGAAAATTTACATGAGTAGATGGCAATTTACTAGCAACAATGAACTTTGAAATGCTGTTTTCGATGATGTGTTCTGTTTCATATGAAAAAATACAACAGCTCACAAAATCAATGAATGAATGATTTCTAAAAATAGTTTCAAATGTAGCATGCATTTCATAATGTCATTATAATTTTGTCATCATTACAAAGAAAATGTTTTCAATTATTTTGTTGAAAATATTTCTCTTTATAAAATTGTGCTTGTTCTGTAATAATCTTTAATTACAACATAATATTGGTATTGCATTAATATGGGTAATAATAAGAAACTTGGGAACTGTTAAAATTCATAAAATTGATGCCACACCATAATAGTTTCATGTAATCTGCTATGGCACCATTTTTCCATGGGTCAATATTCTCTGGCTCACTTGAAGCACAGCAACCAATGCTATGCTGTTAATAATGCTACCTTTCTTGGTTGACAGCTACAAAATTGAAAGTGGTAGGTACTGTATAGCATGCTGACTGATGAGTTTAACTGGAATGTGTTCTCCTTTGTTGAATGTTTACCATCTTTCTCAGTCACAAGTGATCCAATTCTTGCAACAAATGTAATTTTCATATGCTGCTGTCCAGAATTCCTATATTCTTGGCATATCCTTGTTACTGTTATCCAAGAAAAACTTAGATCAGTTGTTAGCTATTTGAGTGCCTGGCCTCAATCTTTTTGCAGTCAATGTAAATTTGTGTTCCACGACTGTAACAGCTACCGCACACATTATCTATAAGTAGGAGAGAGCAAAAAACATCTAATGTACTGTTGAATACCATCTCTAATATTGTGGCACTTCTCTTTATAAAAGGAAAATTTGCCATTTTCTTTCTTTGTAATGATGACAAAATTATAATGACATTATGAAATGCATGCTACATTTGAAACTATTTTTAGAAATCATTCATTCATTGATTTTGTGAGCTGTTGTATTTTTTCATATGAAACAGAACACAGCATCGAAAACAGCATTTCAAAGTTCATTGTTGCTAGTAAATTGCCATCTACTCATGTAAATTTTCTTCTTACGAATGCTCCACAAGTTTTCAATCTGGTTAAGCTCAGGCAAACAAGGTGGCCACTTAATCAAATGAGTGATTTTGAAACACATATTTATTCATATCTTTACTAGTTTTCTATCATACACATTTCAACAATTTGCTGTTAGTTACAAAAAGAAATGAAAATTAAATAAACATAAATGTTTACTGAATTTAAAAAATAATAATGTTGATGTGTTTACATATGTTAAGATAATTTAACATTTATGCTTAAAATGTAAGATTTAAATTTAAGCAATTTTCAATTAGCATAAATTTGCATATAATAAACATAACTTATTACCTTTTTTTAAATTCCAAAATTTTTTTTAAAAATTGATGCAATGTGTTTCTAAGCTGAAAAATGTTTTAGGTGACTTCTATCCATTATTAATTATTTTGGTACTGTTTTTTTTTCTTTCATCCTTAATGAATATCTTACTTCAAAATGATGAAGTTGCATCAATAATTTTACAGCCTGATACAGCTATTAGCAAAATTTAGACTTATTAATGCATTTAAGCAGATTTTAGTTTTGGAAATATCATTTTTTTAATTGGAAAAATAATAAAAGATGAAAAATTCTTCAATAAACAAAGCAAAATAAAATAATTAAAAAAATAGAATAATTATCCTGTTGCATCCATCATAGATTTGTGATTAGTAAAAATATAAGAGAAAAAAAAATTCAATTGTTTAATTAACCAGTGAGTCGGGCTGAAGAATACAGGGCAATGTAGGTGATTAATTTTTTTTATCTTAAACTGAATTCTTAAAAGAAATATGAAGATATATATTTTTAAATGTCAAAAAAATTATTTTTGGCAATAAAGATACTCTTGGTAATAAAATATTTGGCAATAAAGATACTCTTGCATTTTAGAAGGAGTGAGTATCATTAAAACTCTTAATATATTCTTCTCATGAATCAATTTGAATTAATGCTTACTATGATTCTGTTCATATTCCAAACAGAATAGGCCCTTCACTTAACAAGTCAATTTAAAGAAATTATTAAATTTATTTTTTCTTTCACTATACATAACTAAAGTGTATAGTTCTAAAAACCTAAAGAATTTGAAATATTTGTTGAGTAAATATATTGATTTTATGAACCAATATCTATTTTCCTGATTTCCCAAAAGGCTGAAAGTTATCACCATCATCCACATCCTTTTTATTCATCTTCCTTTTCTTTTAATCAACCTGTTTTCATCTTTATTATGAAATGAAATCAAATTAACAAAAAACAAAAATTATTTTGTGTCAAAGGAAACAAACATTAATATTCTTTTAAAAACAAATATTTTAAATATTAACATTTTGGTGGGGCTTTTTCAAACAGTTACTAATTTTATTCTTAAAAAAATATAACACTTTCATTAAACATAATTTCTTAAACCCAATATTAAAATTTGATATTTTAATTATGAAAAATTATGAAAGATATTTTTTCTTTCTGCATGATATTATGCAAAAAATAAAATTTAATTTCCTGATATTGATTTTAAAATTAAATGAATAAAGAACCCTATCATACTTGACAAATGTTCATTCATCTTAGTAAATCCATAAGGTGCTTAGTTATTCAGGTATTACTTCTCTTGGAAAATGATTAAAGAATGATTATTCATAACAACAACATACAAACTCTCTTACTATGGAACTAAGCATCTTAAGATTTTAGCCATGAAACTTATATCTTCAGTACCAGCATGTATATTTTACTATTGTATACCTTTCCATGTATATCTTTATTTAACAATAGAAAAAGAATATAACATAAACTCCTTTTTATTCCAAACCACAAAATATCATCAAAGTTACCTTTTTGTTTTCAGTTTTAAAAATGTAAACTGAGTATCAATTCAAATAGGATAAAATTCTGTGAAAATATAAATTAGGAACCCAGCAAGCACCTGTAATACAATGGCCATCCAGGGTCTTTTAGTCTATGAGTGTGTAGGAATGTTCATCCGACTATTGTTGCTAATAAAGCACCACTGATGTGTCATGTCCAATATGTGCAGCAACTGTCCAAAATGACCATACACTCTCTCTTGAATATCCACAATCTGACCCCCTCTCAAATAGCTCTCACTAAACAAAGGGATTATGTATGCACTTCCATAGCATGATCCCTGCATAGCACTAAACTTTTTCATCACAATGAACACTATTGCAGACTACATCATTATTTAAAACTCAGTGAAATAGATTAAGTGTTACTCTATCACAAGATGAACAAAGACTTTGAAAATTTTATCAGAAAATATTTACTACACCTCAAGCATATAGCTACTGTAGACAGGTTAAACTCAGCATGTTTTAATTTTATAATCCATCAGTGTAGACCACAAATTTAATTTCTAACCTCTCAAAAATACAGCAAATATGCTAATCTCATCTCATTATAGATGGCTTCTTAGATAATCAAGGTGTACCAAAAGGTTCTCAAGAAGGGTTTCAAAAATAAATGCGGCTTTTTTCTTTTCTGCAATTTCGGGAAGTGGATCAGATTGTATGTATTTGTCAACCCCCCCCTCCCCCCATTTTCATGTACACACGCATTCTAAAGCTGCAACTGTAGAATAGCCAGTGAAAACTGAACCTACTAGAAATGTCTTCAAAGAACAGCTCAGCAACTATTTCAATTTGATAAGAGCTTGTCTATAAAGAAAGCTTTGTGAATTTTCTAAAATATCAAGGGAAATAAAAAATGACATATTTTTCTATAATAGTAAATATTTAAACGATGTAGCAAAACTTAATCAGCTATTTCTTCAATGCATAATATTTAATTGTGTTGCATTGCAAAGAACATTTTCTTATCTAGCCAGATCGAAACTAATTGGATACTTTTACTCGTGATCCAATGATCTTGGGCAGTTTGGCATATTTCCAACTGGTAATTGAGGCCAAGTAAAAAGAAAGGATTCTCAAGATAGATAGTGTGGTATACTACACTCACATTGTACAAACAATAGACTCACCCACACAGGCTATATAATCTGTGACTTACCTTCTATTTTGACAATTACAAGGAAAGAATTCCTAACAAGTACCAGGGAAGGAAGAACTGCAACTTCAGAGACCATACTGCTGAAGAATGAAGCAATGAAGCTATGTGAGATGCCTTCATTACAGGCATAGGTTTGCATCCCATATGGCAGTTTCTCCAGGAAAATGAAACTCTGGGCCTACAAACAGCTTATACTCAAGCTTCTGCATTGGACTTAGCCCAACAGAATAATGACATATGGTAATTCAGAAGCTCAAATGGCAGCAATAGTCAACCCAGAATCTACAAACGTATGTGAGAATTATTATAAACCTTCTGTTGAACATAACAAACCAGGAATAGCCATGACCTATCAAGCAAATTGTAAATCCTTTTTCTGTGGATTTCCTTATCACTTGTGAGATTGCTGTCCTGCTCAACTAACTACTTGTAAAACATGCTCAAAGCAAAGACATTATGCTCATGCATTTTGGTCTAAACCTTCATCAAATTCATTAGCAACAGTGGCTGGCCCTCATATACTCACCACACTTACTAATGTACCATGGGAACTCTACCCCACTGCGACACATGTAATTGTTAATGGAAAAAAACTAATTGCCCTACTCAATTCTTGTAGCACTGACAGTTAACTCAGTGAAGGAGTTGTGTGGGAACTAAAATTCACCCATCTAGTAAAGTAGGAGGAGGTGATGGCAATTATTGATGCAGTTGACAAATGGAATCATTATCATGACAACATTTCACCCTAGTTCCTGACCAAAGATTGGTGGCCCTCATGTTTAACAACCAAATTGTACCAAAATTGTTAAAGATTCAGGAGTGGTGATTAGAACTTGCAGCATTTGACTACATGATAAAATATTACCTTGGCAAGGAGAATGTGGTTCTCGATACATTTAGTTAAGATTATGCTTGTTCAGCCATTACCACTTCACTGACAATCACAATGGACTATGCCACCCAGGAATTACTTGATGCCTGCATTTTGTTAGAGCAAAATATCCCTTTTTCTATAAAGGAGGTAAAAAAATGTGCACCTCTTGCAGAGTCTGTGCAGAAATTAAACATTTCTATCGCCCACCAGAAAGCACTCTTATCAAGGTGACCAGACACACAGGAGTTCACTGCCATCCTGGCTAATGTCACCAGGTCTCATACTATTAAAAAGGTTTGTAAGAAACAGTAAAACTGATCCTTATTTGCACTAAGTCAAAGTCCTTAACAATAATCCGACATATGCCAACATAAGCTATCCAGATGAAAGGGAGTCTACTGTATCTGTTTGTGATTTGGCACTCTGCCCTGAAATGGAGTTAACTCCTGAGCCCCTCACTGCAGAACAAGGTAGGTGTACCCTGATTGTTCTTATACTGGAGGGGGGCACAATATGTAATGAATCTGTTGCTGAGGTCCAACAGATAAGGAGATCCGGACAGACAAGAGACTCCCAGAACGTTATGGATGGTGACATCACAATTTCCTAAGGAGCAAAGAATATGGTATCCTAGGTTGTATGAGCAATAGATTCGCCCACACAGGCTATATAATCTGTGACTTACCTCCCTTTTATTTTGAAGCTGAATTTTGTTTAGCTAAAAAGCTTAGTACTTTTAGTTCTATTCTGAGTTTTGTTTTATTTATCACAAACAGGATTTCTCAACTTGAAGAATTGATGAAATATAAATACAATTTACTTCCTCAATCATTTGGTTTGTGAAAGTCTGAGCTAAGCTTTTTACAAAAGATTAACATACTCCATGATTATTTTTTTATTGCCCTTGTACAAATAATAAATACTCACCCAATAAAAGACTGTTTCTGTCATAGTGAGTTTAGTGATCTAATATTTCTGCAATGTTTCATTAACATGGAACACTTGTTACAAAAATATTGCAGGCAACTCCTTATGAGATTTCAAAATTTATATTTTACTATTCAATAAACATATCAAAGATCAAGCATAATTTGATGCTGACAACAACCAGATCACTTTGTATGCAACCCATTAAAGAATATGTTTACAAATTAAGCAGACAATTTTTTATAAAGTAACTAAAATATATGCAATCAATAGACTATACCCCCACCCACGCACACACACACACTCTGCTTGCCACTAGTGCTTACTAGACATTTTGGTGAGATGAAAGGAAGAAATTCTCTTTTTATTTTTCAATACAGAATGATTAACATATTGCCATTTTTGACTTACCAGCAGAAAGAAGCATTTCGAGAATAGCAACATGGCCTTCAGAGGCAGCAATCATGAGTGGAGTGTGTCCGTTTTTGTCTGGCTGTTCTATGGAAGCTCCGGCTTGAAATAATATTTCGGCCACATCCCATTTGTTGCCTTTTACTGCACACAGCAGGGGGCTGTAGGACTTGGTGTTAGCCAAATGGACATTTGCCCCTTGCTTAATTAGATACTGGACAACTTCTTTCCGACCATGGAGGCAGGAAGCAGTTAATGCTAAAAAAAAAAAAAAAGAAAAAATGAGAGAGAGAAAATATAAATGAACCAACTGATACATAACTGATAAATCATTTAATACTATAAAAATGATTAATTATGAGACTGACTCAAATAAAACAAATGATTCAAATCTGAATTTGTTTAGTATAAAATTGCATTATTGTGTGAAGGAAAAAAAAAATGAAAATCTTTGGAAATTCAATGAATCTCTTAAACATCAGTGAGGTTTTAGATTTAAATATTAATCAATTAAAATAAACTTCTCACAAGGTTAGTCTTAAGTGTTAGTGACTGGAAGTTGTTCCATTTGGCCTTTATATTCTTCAGTAGAGTGAATCACAAGAGGGAATCTCTATCAAGAGGCAAAAGACTGAACTATTTTGTTCAAATTAAGTTCCATTAAAAAAAAAGCTACAAGTTCTTAATTTAAATTTTCATAGATATTTTGCATATAAAACTTCCATTAATAATTAAATGTTATCAAATCAGAATGATTTCTTTATGCCAGGTAAGTTAAAATAGAAGTTTATTTGTGATTTACAGCCACAATCAATGCTAATGAGATTTATCAAATATACATGAAATATGAATGTGCTGGCAAAAATAGTTATGGAGAGGAATTTGTAAGAAAGATATTTTATCTGTAAACAAGTTTTTTCTGAATTTTTGTAAAAGATGATGTTGGTTACAAGATTATAAATTCAAGCTGAATAAGATTTTCCATTAGTTAATATTTTTTCTAACTACTGTCTTCTTTTCCATTTTAAATCTACTTTCTATAATTATTCAAAATATTTTTTTTTCCTTTTTGCATACTAATGTTCTTGTCACTGTATTTCATTTATGACATAACTGAAAAAGTAGCCTACCTAGGACAATGTTGCCACCATAGTCCCCTTCAGAGGAACCTCACATACTTATACAAGGATTCCTTCCTCAAACCTTTTTTTTTTTGTTTATTTTATTTTATTTTAAGAAATCACCATCAGCTGTCTCATTATCAAATCTGTGTTCTGAAATTTCTTTTTCAATGGTGATTTTTAACTTTGGGAAAAATGAGAAGTTTCAGGAAAACAAATCTAAACTAGTGGTGTGTGTGTGTGGGGCAAACAGACAGCCCTGCTTGAGTGATAATTTTTAAAAAAATGCATTGTCAAAGGCAGACAATGTAAGTTTTGTAAAGATGTATAAATACATTAACAGCAGTGGAGGCATTTAGTGAATAATCTGTTTGGAAGTATTTGATTCTTACAATTTTTATTCTTAGATAAACAGATAAAATATTTCAGCCAGAATTAAAAGAGTTTATATTCATAAACTAACAAGTTCTAAGAGAAAAAAAGAAAAACATTATTGAGTTTCAAAGAAAGCATTCTGTAAAAAAAAGAAAATTTTCTTTTGTTTGATTCAAAAAATATTAGACGTTAACCATTTCTTCTATAATAATTTTAGAAATGATAATTTTAGAATATTTGATTTACTCCTTGTGTCTCAAGTTTACAATGTATTCAATTAAAGGTTTTTGTCCAAACTTTGTGAAATGATTTTTAATCAAAAACTGCAGAGAAACAGCAATATCAATTTAATCAAATGGAGTTGGGAAAATACAATAAAACAAATATATTTGCATCCCTTACCAGTCTCACCAATCAAAGTATCAACGGCGTCAATACTGAAAGCTTCATTACTTCGTCCAGCTGCATGAACCACCAGATAATCACAGATCTGCAAAGACAAAAAAAAGGAATCAGGATAAACAGAAAAACAGATATAGCACCTGGGAGGAAATTATCTTGCACTGGAATTGTCTATTTTATGGTGAACTGATTCAAGAAAACCAAATAAACGTTTAGATTTGTGCAAAGAGAGCACATCCAACCAGACAATAACATTTTTATAGTATATTTTATGCAAATTGAATTCAGATGGTCAATAATATTTATCTCCCTTAAACTTGGCTACATAATTATTTTAGACAGTGTAATGAATAAAGAAAGCAAATTTCCTGTCATTTTTAATTTTCTTTTTACAGTGTACTCTTTTGATGTTTAATTTGGCTTACATGGTTGCTTCCATTTATACAGAAATTTAGAAAAAACAATTGTACTCATGAGCACATACTTTATAAAGTATTATATTTAAGCATTCAAAGAGGAGGCAAGCAATTGTCATTCATGAGAATTTGTTTTGTACAGAAAAATTCTGATGATGAATTTTAAGATGTTCTAAAAATAATTTTAAAGTGTGCACACACGTCCCTATATATGCTTGACTTTCCCATTGTTTTTTTTTATGTGTGAGGGTCAAGCAACTGAGTTACTAGGAATTGACAGCCAGGCAGCTGCACATATGATTTGATTATAGTGGTCAAGGCTTTGTGCAGAGCAAATCACACTTTTCGAAGAGCCAAATATAGAGACCTGGAGCACCATTGCCACAAGGTCCACAAATGACCCTCCACAAGTTTTGGACTCAAAGTTTTCCTTCTTATATATATATATATATATATATATATATATATATATATATATATATATATATATACAGAGAGAGAGAGATATATGTATATATATACATATATAAATAAAAAAAAAAAATTTGGGGCTTTTAGCTTCCATTTTTGAAACATGGTTAGAACTGTGTAGCGGAAAAAAACATATTTTAAATCAATTAATTTATAATATTATATATATATATATATATATATAAAGAGATATATCTATCTATATATATATATAAAAGAGATATATCTATCTATATATATATATATATATATATATAAAAGAGATATATATAAAGAGATATATATCTATATATATATATATATATATATATATATAAAGAGATATATATATATATATATATCTATATATATATATATATATAAAGAGATATATCTATAGATATATATCTATAGATATATATATATATATAAAGAGAGATATATCTATATATATATCTATATATATATATATATATAAAGAGATATATCTATATATATATATATCTATATATATATATATATATATATATATATATAAAGAGGATATATATATATATATATATATCTATAGATATATATATATATATATATATATAGATATATCTATATATATATATATATATATATATATATAGAGAGATATATCTATATATATATCTATAGATATATATATATATATATATATATATATAAAAGAGATATATCTATATATATATCTATAGATATCTATAGATATATATATATATATATATATATATATAAATAAATAAAAGAGAGATATATCTATATATATATCGAGAGATATATCTATATATATATCTATAGATATATCTATATATATAGAGAGAGAGAGAAAGAGATATGTATGTACATATATATATCAGGTCATCCCATAAGTTCTGTCCAAATTTTAACTTTTTGTTAAAATGAACAAAATTTAAGGAGTATTTTATAATGTCTAATGGAGCTGAACATTATTTTTATGTTTAGATGCGTTTAAACTGATCAGAGAACAATAAAATTAAATTTTGTTTGATTAAAACCCTGCTAAGATGGAAGTACACAAGAATCATTTGAGGCACATAATGCTTTATGAGTTCAAGAAAGGAAACTCAGCAGCCGAAGTGGCTAGAAACATTCACTCAGTTTATGGAGAGGAATGTGTGAATGAAAGAACTTGCAGAAGATGGTTTGCAAAATTCAGAGGTGGAGATTTCACCCTTGAAGATGAAGATCAAACCGGGCGTCCAGTTGAGTTTGATGAAAAGCTTCTTGAAGCAGCCCTTGAAGAAAATCCTGCTTTATCAGTTGAGGAATTGGCAGTGGTTCTCAGTTCAAACCATACAACTGTTCATAGTCATCTTCAAAAACTTGGAAAAGTTCCTAAACTTGGAAAATGGGTGCCTCATGAATTGTCTGAAAACAACCTCAAATCCCGAGTTGACATCTGCTCTTCTCTCCATTCTCGCCAACTTGTTTCACCTTTTTTGGATAGACTTGTGACTGGCGACGAAAAATGGATCTTTTATTGAAATGTTAAGTGCCGTAGACAGTGGCTTGGTAAAGGGGAAGGACCCCAGCCACAGCCGAGAAGGGAACTTCATGGGCAAAAGGTTCTTCTTTCAATCTGGTGGGATCGCCAAGGAATAATCCACTTTGAATTCTTACCACGTAATGCAACAATTAATGCTCAAATATACTGTCAGCAATTAGAGCATTTGAACCAAGCTTTGAGGAAAAAAAAAACTGCTCTAGTGAATCAAAAAGAGGTGATGTTTCATCAGGACAATGTGCGACCACACACAGCAAGAATCACGTTGCAAAAGATCGAAGAACTTGGTTGGGAGAAAATTCCTCATCTACCTTATTCTCCCAATCTTACTCCTTCAGCCTGCCATTTGTTTCGTAGCTTACAGAATCATTTGGAAGAAACAGCTTTTGTAACACAGGAAGAGGTTAAAACTGACATTTATGAGTTCTTTGAATCAAAGCCAAAAGAATTTTACAGTAATGAAATTAGTAAGCTTGTTAATAGATGGAAGGAAGTCATAGATAATCAGGGAAAATACATTGTTGATTGAATCTGTAATTAAATGTAACATTTGGTCACTTGTTTTCTTTATTCAAAATTCGGACAGAACTTATGGGATGACCTGATAGATAGATATATGTATGTACATTTATTTTTTATACAATTTCTCATGCGATCTAATAATTTTTTTTCTTTTTGGATGATAAATTATATAAAAACTGTCTGAATGTTCTTTTTATCCAAGTGCTTTCGGCTATACATTTAGCCATATTCAAGGATTATATTTTAACTACAAGAACATCTAAGAATGGGTGTTTATTTTTTTGACTAAGTTCATAGGTAAAGTTAAGGATAGAGATTTTTCAAATGTAGTCTTAAGAGTATCTATTTCTTTAGTGTTATTTGCTAAAATAAAAATATCGTCTACATTGTGGATATATATTTTAGGTTTACAGACAGGTTGAATATCTTATTTTTTACATAGGACGACAAATCTCAGCCAAGTGAGTGCTGATACACTAGCAATATCCACAGAATGATTTCAATTTTTAATTCATGAGAAGCTGGGTATGAAGAAGCTGCCAACCAACTTGGTACCAAAATGTTTGAATGCAAACTAGAAACAATACTAAGTGAAAATCTCCAATTTGATATTGTAGCATTTTCAGCAGTTTAGCTTGGTTTGTTTTGTTTTATGGCATATCAACTTCATTATTTAATACCAACAAGATTTTATTGCTGGTAATTTTTTTGCCACTAACACGCAAGGGGTTACAGAGAGTAGAGAACAAGAGTAAAGAGGCGTGTTTGGAAAGAGGATAAAGAGAAGGATGGGGGAACAAGATCAAGGTATCAGAAGATGTCAATTGACATTACACTTTTATATTTGAAGATTATAGTTATCAGGGAAGCAGGTAAGCAGAAGAGAATTCCACAAATGGGAAGTGCAAGAGAAGAAGATGTTTGAGTAGAAGAGACAGTTACATTTAACCGTTTTGACAGTGAAAGGGTGGGACCAAGATGCCAACCTACTAGCTTGCTTAAATTTACGCAGTCTGGGAACCAGTGAAAGCAATTTGTCAGAACAGTTGCTGTGAAAATACTTATAGAAGAGACAGAGGGAAGCCATGGCAAATCTGTGAGAAAGCGACTGTAGCCAAGATGCCAGATCAGGACCTATCACATTGCATATCCATCTCTGGATTTTGTTAAGGACGTCGAGACTTAATGCAGGGGCACCAGACTATATATGACAGCAATATTCCATGCAAGGACAGACAGTTGATGACCAAACAGGCACAAATGAGGCACTCTCATGGAGTTGGGCATCATCCATTCTGATGGGAGGCAAGGAGGATTCTTTGTGATGGGTAAATGAGAGCAGTTTTGTTTTGGAGGCATTGAAGTTTACAAGCCATTTCCTGTCCCAGTTAACCACAGATTGGAGATCCTTTTGAGACCAGCAGCCAGGTAAGTTGTGTCAATAATACCAGATTTACTATTGAGGCAGGAGTAAATAGTAGTGTCATCTGCATAGATGCCTACCTGGGAACTGATGACATTGGGTAGGTCGTTAATGAAGATCAGGAATGGTGTAGGACCCAAGATAGAGCCTTGGGGAAAACCAGTGTTCATGATAAATGACATGAAGAAAGGATATTTTTTTAATTATTCAGAAACAAAATTTGAGGTTTTAATGCATGTACTATCCACATTGCTCACCTGATATTTCTCCATCTATTTGCTTTAAAAATGTTGAGGAGGAGAAACTTTTCAAATGATTTGGAGGTAACAGCAGCAGAACAATATTTCAATGACTAACCATCAGAAAAGTCTTTTAAGGTTTAAAGAAATTTGTGAAACAATATGTCAAATGGATGAATATATGGAATAATGTATGTTTCATAGCTTGAGGTGATTCCTTTCTTGGGAAGATAAGTTTTCAGCAAATCCATGCATGTATATAAATATCTTTAAGAGAGCTAGAAGCAGGCATTTTTGCATAAAGAGTTAGAATTAAAAAAAGAAGTATTTACATGTTTGTGTCCCATTGCTGCTGCAGCTACAAATGCCTGCTGCATTGCTTCAATCTTCTGTTGTTGACTAGAAGCACTTGACCAATCACATTGCAACAGGAAAGCCAATGAATCTAAATGGCCGTGCATGGCTGCATGGACTGCTGGGCACTGACCACACTTGTCTGTGTGACTTAACTGAAACAAAGGAAAAAAGAAAGGCAAGCACTAATAAGAAAATGGCTTTTATTACATAAATTGATCAAGAAAATTAATTTTACATAAAAAGGTTTGAGCCAATGTACAAATTATACCATACTGATTTTACACAAAAAGGTTTGAGCCAATGTACAAATTATACCATACTGATTTTACACCTTTTTATCATTCTTTTTTTCTTTGAAATACATTGCAATTGATTTCTTTTGGAATGAAATCCAAAAGATTTACTACAGAAATATATAAGAAATCATTTTTATAGAAATGAATTAAATATTTTTTATTGAAAAATGTATAAAAATTTACAGCAGAAATGCATTGCTAATTCTTTACAAAAGAAATGTCTTTGACCTGTACATAATTTTAAAATTGAAATTTATTGCAAGTTTTAAAATGATCTTAAGATATCATCAAAGTACATTGCAAATAATTTCAGAGAAATATAGCCAATATTTAAGACAGTAAATGCATTGTAAGAGGTTAAACATAAAATGTTTAAATATTCACTTTTCTTTTTTTAATTTCCTAATATCTTGAAGCCTTTCAGTAATGAAGAGGCCAAATAAAAAATTAAAAATAAATCTAAAAGATAATGAACTTTTTCTAAAACTAGATAACTCCATTACCTTATTCTATAAAATGTGAATGCAACTCCATTTATCAATCATTTCTAACTTCTATGTAAACTCCTAGAAATTTCTATCAACTATCAACATTATATCAAGATACTTGGTAATGCCCTTTCTCAAAATCAATAAATAAATATGCATGTTAATTCTAATTTATATCTCTCTTCTCCAAATCATTCTGAGTTTGTTTAACAAGTGTTATCTTTTTTCTTGGATTCAATTCATAAAAATCTCTGATTGTACACAAGATTATGTTGAAATGTTTAATTAATGAGAAAGCTGGTAGAGTCATTTGAAAAGCTGTTTTGTTTGCTTAAAACATCAAAAATGCACAGTGTTAATCGCTATTTTCTTCTTTATTTTGTAAAATGAAACTAAAAGTGACACTTATCAGTATCTAATCAAATGCAAAAACCTTTCTCCTCAAGATCCCTTGATTCTTTTGAGACAAACTTACAATAGTCCAGTTTTAATTTAAAAATCAAATGAAAGATATTACATATTTTATTCTAGGTGAAAAGTTTCTTTCTGACCAATTAAATATATCATAGAAAGTCAACATTAGCCATAACTGAAACTAGACTAGATTGCCATTCCTCTCTTAGCCTATCATAGAAAAAAATATTAGGTAATATCTCGATTGTTGTTTCTGGTTCATCCTCTGCACCAAGTAGTGAAATTTATATTGTCTGGTTCAGCAAGAATGAAAGATAGTCAAAAGGTACTTGAGCAAAATGTTGTGTTGATAATAAAATTGATAACAAACATAAGAACAATAGTTCAAATAAATTGAATAAGTCAAAAGAATTTTACTTCCAAAACTTACAATAATTTAAAAGTTAACCTCAATACTAACTTTACTTAAATTATGACCTTTCAGATATCAATTTGAGGGATTTTTAAAATATAACTTTAAGGAAGAGAGATATTTAATTAGCTGTTGATTCATAACTAAATTCAGATTTTTCTCTACAAAATTTAGAAAGAAAAATTGTTTGATGAAAAGATCTTCATAGTGTACGGTCTTTGCTAGAGTTAGTGATTGATGAGGGGCAGTGGAAGAAATCATGATGAATTTAAAAGCCAACGTATGAATTAAAATAGAAAAGTCACTGACTTATGTGTGTAAACAGTACAAGAGTTATAGTCAAAAATGAAAAAGTTACAAGAAGTCATGAGAAAGCTCATGAACCAAACAAAAAGTAATATGCAAAATTTTAATTATTCTGAGCAAGCCTACAGCTAAAAACTATTACCAAATCAAATTTTCCTTTTTATCAAATATAAAATTGTGATTGGTTGAAAATGTCTTGAGCAATACGAGGAAAGAAGATTTCTACTTGACAAACAGTAAACATCATATTAAAAATGGAACTTTTAAGACAGACTTCTAGATTTTAGCACTTAAAACTATGATGTTGCTGTTACAAATTTAAATGCCATTGTTAATTCTGTATTTTTAAAAATATACTGGATGATAACTAAAACAATTATCATGCTTCATCAAAACTCATTGTCTTTGTTACAAGTTACTAATGGTTTATATCTAAAGTATGTAGAATGCTTTCACTTCAGGAAATATTGAAAGATTCACATCTTCATGTTAGTTTATTTCTAATAGAAACATGAAGGGCTATATTGGAATAATGAAAAATGCTCTTTGTTTGTGGTATTCAATGAGATTAGGGGCCAAAACAAAATGTTGAAGCTGAGAAACCAGTATTTAGCCATCAACAACATTTTTTTTTACAAACTTTGCAAGTCATTGTATCTGCTGAAAATTAAGAATAACTTTTTTTTTCCAAGAAATTATAAATAATTATAAAAGTGAAAATGGACAAGCTCCTACCCAGGCCTAAACAAAAAAATTACTTTTGTTTTTTTGGTCTGACACTAACAGGAGTCACACACTCCTCCTCTAGTTTACACCTGTAGCTGATAAGTGTATGATCAGTTTTCCTTCTAGTTTGACTGCTGGCCAACACTAACAATGGACAAGCTCCCACCCAGACCTAAACAAAAAATTACTATTATTATTAAAACACCATTTAAAACTGTAAATTATAAAATTCCTCACATTTAGTAAAAATTAAATGTGAGCTCTATACCAAAGTTATAAATAAACACCATGGAATCCACAGTAAAAGAATATTACTGGTTGCATAACATTCATTAATCTCATCTTTATTTGATTACAAATAATATTGAAACCCATCACTTTGCTTTGCTGATGTCAAGATGATCAAAGTTCACTTATAAATTGTAGTATTTTAAATGAACAAACATTTATCAGAAATATATATTCTGTTTAAATAAAAAGGAGTCATAAAAATAACTTCAAAGAGACACACATTTCCATTTCTGCTTATACACTTTTCCTGTTAGCTCTTGTGATATGGATGCACATTTTAATTTCATTCAAATTGTGTGTGTATATACATTTGCACATTTAGATTTTAATCCAATAACAGACTTAAAAATATCTAAAAAAAAAATAACTTTAAAAAATCATTATTACTAAATAATTTCTAAAAAGTTCAACAGAATCTTTTAATTATCTCTTCTTCTTTTAGGGTTTAAAACATTAACCATTTGTTCTCTCACTCCATCTATATCATTTTTATATGAATTCACTTTTTAGTGGTCACTATTCTCAGAAGTAATAAACTGGACATTTATTTTGTGTCTATCTCTATGCTATCAGGTTTTAGGTACAAATAAATAGATATGAATAAACTAACACTGATATATGATAAATATAAATAGACTGATGTAAGCAACCATGGAGCATTGTTCAGAACAAAATCTCCAGTACAAAACTTTATATTTTTGGTATTCAATCATTCACTATATCATCTCTATGAACTGCACTCTACTCTATGTTTAATTTTTTATGCTAAATTAATCTTCTTTGGTGATTATAACTTATGCCAAACCAAGCATGGCACTCACTCAAGTCAGAGGTAAAAATGTAATAGAAATTCATATTTATGCAATTTCTTTAATAGATGAAATGACACATGTAGCTTGGACCAAATTTAAAATGACTTTTGTGTGTATTTTCTTTTTGTGTGCTTGTGTGTACATTAAGTTCAATATTGTTATGCCTCTGTCCATTTTTTAAATATTTGCATCTCTCAATAGAAATCATATTAAAACTTGGATAGTTTTGAAGATTGATTTCACATTTGTTATTCTGCAATATGAAAAATTCAATTTGCAATTTAGTATTATTTGAAGAGTTTCAAAAACATTAAAAATACTAATAAAAGAAATAAAGTTTTTTCTCTCATGAAAAACATATTGTAAAGAATAAGGTTCTTAAATTTTCTTCAATATTACAAAACTTCAACCTAAATTATTTACTTTTAGATAGGAATACCATGGCCTTAAAGTTTCTCCCAACATCAAATGGGGCATCTGTATTCTTATAACAATATAAAGCAACATTTACAGAGAGGCTAAATTTACACAGTTCTAACTTTCTTCAAACTGAAATCTTCAGATATAATAAGATTTACCAATCCCAAGATGCACTTCTAACAAAAAAGGCAAACATTAGAAATCAGAAGAGCAGACATAATAGGCAAAACACAGATGATAAAAACTAATTATTTTCTAAATTGTGTCCACATTTAATAAGATCTCTGGCCTTTTATTAATATCTCTACCTGTCTCAAAGGAACTCAATTATTTCTTGCATGAACTATCAATAATTCTTCAGTCTTTCAATTATTGGTCTGTATCTCTGTCTGCATTTGTTAAATCGAGCTGAATCAATTTCCAAGGCTGCTTACTTAGGCATGATTATTCTGAGATTATTTTCTCAGAAAGAGATTTGTTGGAATATTGTTGGAAATAGCTTTCTGTAAATCCATTACTTGCAGATTCACAACAAAATATTTTGACTGCTGTTTACTTTTTGTCATCTGCAAAAATGTTTCCTCAAACATTTAAAAATAATGCAAATCTGTTTACCAATGAACCTATGATTATGACATTGTTTATGCATTGCAAGAGTAAATTTTTATTATAATCAAAAAGATAAACATTTTTTCTTCCATTTAATTTTTGTTTACTCACAAGTGACAATGTCAAGTGCATTTTTAGTGTTTGCTAAAAGAAAAATGATTATAAAAAATGAAACATTAAAAAAGAAACATTTTTTCATAAAAAATCTAAAATTCTTCTATAGTCATAAGGAATGAAGACAAATACATAGCGCATCATGAATATACATTCTAATTTGCTCAAAATTAAAATAGAGGTTAATCTATCTGGATTGTAGTAGATAATCACATATACAGATCAATATTTACATAGGTTCATAAACAAGATATTTATTAGTGTACACACACACTCTATATTAATACATTGTATATCCTCTTTGTATGTATTCTAACATCTATACAATCATACAGAAAGTGAATACTATTATGCAATACATTATTCCACACCTTTTTGTATCCATTGATGCAATACAGTAAGGATTATAGGTGGGCAAACAATGAGTATGGTACTGACCCATCATATTCCATACATGTCCAATGTAGGATAAGTCTGACAATTGTGCTAGCCATGAAAGTTGTTGAACATCTTGCAGAGGATGTTAAGTAGCACATGCACCATGTGGACAAGCATAATTCTGTTGGAGAACAGTTCACCATCTCCAGCAGCAGAAATGGCTGCAGATCAATCTTTAGGATATACATAGGTCAGTGTTCAAGGATTGGGCCCATGGAACTTGAATAAATACCCTCAGGAAGATATCACATCCTAGGTCTACATTATACATGCAATCAGTTATTACAAAAGAGCACTATTTGATATTCCATGTGAACCTGTCAAATCACAACTGGATATACACACACTATTGTTGTGGTGCAAGTGAGAGTCTGGCCAGAAGTGTATGTGCACATCATTCTGCTGCAAGTAAACAATTCTCAATGGTCAATGCTGATATTTTTGAAGTTATATTTTCTCTGATTTATACTGAAAATGCTATGTGGTTTGCTACTGCAACCCTTTGCAAATATTTCTACTATATGGCCATCCAGAACCTGGTTTATCAGTGTAGGAATTTTCATTTGACCTCTGTTGATAACATCAAATCACATCTATGTGAAGCAAGTCTTCAAAATGATTATCTGGCCTCTTGAAATCCCACAATTCAACCACTCTAAAGATGGTTCATTGAAATAAACAAGTGTTAATTCAGTCTATAACATGACACCTACTTGCAATGGACTTTCATTACACTGAACCCTACTGCAGCATGTGTCACAGTCTAAAGCTCAGATACATACAATGCACAGGTATGTGCATTGAAGATTTCACAAAATGTACAAAGACATTGAAAATGTTACCAGAATATCTACAATCTCCTTAGCATGTAGATAATGTCAGCATCACTGTCAGGGTGTTACAATTTTATTATCCATCAGTTAATACTGATGTAGATAACTTTTTGGAATTTAAGAATAGTGAAATGTAGCAGTATTGATTAAATTATAAAAAATGTGATGATGAGAAAAATTTATGATGATCAAATATTTGTTTATTATAACATTCAACATAGAAGAAAATGGTACCAAGTTTGCTTCTATTTTCTTTTTAATTTAAATATCTATTCTGTACATTGGTGATAATGGATCTCCATGGATATTTTTTCATTATTATCTGTGAATTACTGTGACTTCTTGGGAAAGATAGTGGAATGGTTTCCCATTGTCTTCTTTGTGGTTTTGTTTTCAGAATTTTCCCTTGTCTTAGACTAACTGCCACTCAAGGTTAAAGAACTCAGACTACCCTGCTATTTAACCTATAGCTGGATTTTTGCCTTTCTCAGTGGTGTTAATGTAAAATGAACATAACAGTCTTAGGTTGATGCTTCAACTCTGCTTACCAATTTCACTTTATGCACTGATAACTGTTATACTATCTGCACACCTGCCACTGCTTTTATTATCAGCAGTTAATACTTGTAGTGAGGAAGAAAATCACAAACCAGATGCTGAATTTCATGGTAAACATCCTATCCAAAAGTTCCCTGAAATAATGTTTGTCAAGAGAAAACATGGCCTTGAATATCCTTAGGCTAGATTTATTTAATTCTAATCCAAGTAAAATCCAAATTTTAAACACTGAATTTCATGACAAGCTATCTGCAATTGACTTATAAACAAGTGTGGGATTGGATTTCATTTGAATCATAGGAAAAAAAACAAACTCAGCATTCAAGCAATTCATACATGCACAGTTCAAAGTGATTTTGGATGAAAGATAAAAGCAACAACAACAAAAAAAATAAAACCTGGATAAAATTGAAGTTATTGTTCACTTACATTGGCTTTTTTGGAACACAATAATTTAATAATATCAAGGTGTCCATTGGCAGCTGCATGGCAGAGTGCTGTCATACCATCTTCACAGGTGGCATCAACAGAGGCATTAAACTCGAGCAGTGATGAGACCATTTCGATGAAACCTTCTCGTGCACTCACACACAACACTGGAGCTTGGTTCAGGAAATTGCTCCTTGTATTGGGGTTTGCTCCAGCCAACATGATGAGACGGCTCACCTGTTCAATAAAATAAAGAGAAGATAAGGTGTATACATTTGAAGCAATGCTTTGCTAAGTTTATTACAAATATTGCTGAAATCATGTGTTGCCTTTTCTCTCAAAGTTATATATCAAGAATATCACTAAATTATATAGTCAAAGAGAAGATCAATACAAAAGTCAATCTTTTAGGTTATCAATACCTGATTAACAAATAAAAGTTTGGATTTTCTTTTAATCCATATAATTTTCAGAATCTTTAAGGACTTAACCATCTTAATTACAAAATTTGGTCAACAGTTAACAATAGTTACAATAGTTAATAGAAGAAGGAGGAAGTAATTAGGAAGAAAGGTTTGATATGTAGAAAATCCAAGAGTTGATATTCATGAAACCTTCATGAAACTTGGATCAACTGCTCAGATGTCTCCAATATCACCTGTCAAAGATGCCACAATTCTGGAAGCAGCAATTATCCTTTACTGCTTTAAATGCAGATTTTTGCTATCAGCTGACATTTCCTTAAACTTTATCAGGAAGAGATTGGTACTTTTATTGAAATACAAATCTTATTGTGATTGTAGAATTGGTAACTGATCTAAGAGAATCTTTGATCTTTATTTGATGAAAAAAGAAAAAAAAAGAGCAGAACAACAGCTATCACTGAAACTTTCTCGAGATTTTGACAAAACCACTGAACTTTTTTCACTTACTACTCTGAGAAAAATAATGTAAATCCTAAGCCAACAGAAAAGGTTTACTTTTATGGTTTTCAAAGCATTCCAATCATACAATTGACAAGCAACAGCTACTCTCTATCTCAAGGTACTTGAATGTCACTGATGGCAGACATAAAGAAAGTGATAAACAACAATTGATCTGGTTTTGTCTCCCAGCAATAACTGATACAGAGACATTTTTGTTGCTGGGCATGATGTTTATCCCTTTCCTGGTTGCTGCTACATGCTGTATAGGTTTTTGCATATGAGATAAAAGATGTCTGACTTCAAGCATAATTTAATATTAACTCTCAAGAAACATGAAAAGATATTTCCAATTTTAATTTCATAACACTAAGAGATAAAAACAAATACAAAATATCCAAACTATTACAAAATATCACCTATAAAATATTCTGATACATATTAGTTTGAGTCATAAGTAATTTTCATTTTCGAGAACCAGTTGTAATGATGAAACTTTTATTTTAACTACAAATCATATGTGGTAATTAAGAGAAAACTTGGGGTAAACTAACATACTTTGCTTTTGTTTTTTTTTTGCAACCAAGTAGCAGCCGATACAGTGAATTAAAAAATAACTTCTTTAAGCCCACTAATGGAGAAATTGAAAATCCATTTTTTTAAAAATTAATAACTATACATGAAAAACAAAACAAATGCTACCAACAGAATTTAGAAAATATCCCATGACACTGGTATAAACAAAACATGCAATATTTCTAAATGAATTCAGAAGCTTATGAATTTTTATTGATTTTTAAATAGTTAATTTCTTTTTTAGAAACAAGAAAATCAAAGTAACAGAAAAAATCTCACAGGAATTTCTAATTATAGTGAATTATACACAACTGTGATTATGGGGCATAAAAATCAACATCTTGTTCTTTGATCAGCAGTGTCATTTCAGTATTAAACTCTTCTCACATAAAAGCAGCCAATTTATATAGCAATGAGATTAACCCTGATTGATCAGTTACTCATCACCACAATTACTACATAAATTATTTGCCAGTGCCACCTACCTTAATTATAAACAGGATATTATTAATGTGGACAACTCTGATTCTGAAGAAATATTTTAAATCAGAAGCATAATACTATTTTCATTTGACTCCAGAAAACTTTCCTTTATACTTTGTCTTTCTTGTTTCTGCATATTCTTCATAAGATTCTTTATTTCATACTCTGAATCTTACAATTATTTTCTTAAAACAATATACAAACTTTTAAAATGCCAGATAGAAGAGCTTTCCTCTCATTATTATTTATTACTGACATTGATTATTATGGTACAATGACCTAAATTGATGAAGATGTAAATTCTATTGGTGAATGCACAATATCAATTTTTCAAAATAATATTTATCCATTAGCCAAACCAGATATATTCAATAAATGGGAAATACACCTTTTCTCTGGAATCAGGAAGAAAAATAACAATGGTTTCCTTAAGCATGATACAGATTTGGAAGTGTTGATGTATTGATAAAATATTGACACAGAAAATCAACCTTTTGTGAAGAAAAATACAGATATATTTACAGAGTGATAATGCTTCTCTTTTCTTCAAAATTTAAGAAATGGCCAACAGAAATATGGAAAAAATCACAAAATCATGTGAGCAAAGACTGACAAAGAACTAGAGATCCACACACACATAACAAAGAATTAGATAAATGCATCCCAAACATCATTTGCCTTCAGGCTTACATTTTCTGATAAAATATTATTCCCTTTTATAGAAATGAAACTTTTGAGGAGTAATAAAATTTGAATTTTCAGTGAAAAATTAATTCTCTAAAATGAATTAAAGTTTTTATCTTATTTAAAACAAAAGGTGATTGAAAAAGCTTCCAGGTCAGCCATGGGCAAAGTGTGGCAACTGTCAACATCTTTTTAGTATCTCAAAAGTCTACAATGCAAAAAACAGTATCTTCAATAAACATTCAGATTATGATTTAGAATTTGGCAAGTTGAAAGTCATCATAATGTTCATTCAGCATTTAATTTAATAAATGAAGATAAAGAAAATTCAACATCAGGTTTTACTTTTGTTGGTGTAGAGTTGAAAAAATAATGAAAATTGGAAGTAAAATTCTATGTGGAGTTTTTTAAAATGTTACATTTTAGTCTGACAATCATAGATGGTGAGAAGACACAAAGTATAGACAATGCAACATTGTGTAACTTAAAAAGATTTTCAAATGATAAATTTCTCTTTTACTAGTTGCTTTCTTTCTTGGAGTTAATTTCTACCTGTTTCTTTTTAGCATTTCCTTTCTTCAGTTAATTTTGGTAAACATCATTATGTAGACAAAGATGTAGTTATAATATATCAGCTCAACTTTTCCTTTATTCATGCTCTAAGGTTTGAAATTAAAGAATTTGTGCCTCACAACAACATATTTAATTGAGTTATACTAGTAATAATTTCATATCAAAATTACAATATGATTTAGTTTCAGTTTTTTATTACAGGCGTTAACACAAAGTAACACATACATTTTTATAAATCCATTAATATAAGTATCTTCTTGTGCATGATTAGTAGCTTTCTTTTTTCAAGCAACACTATGGCTTAGTGTTTTCTATATGCTGACAAATGCAAGATTTAATCAACTAAGTGTCTATATAAAAATATTTAATATGGCTGTAAGGAAAAAAAATATTTAGTCTTGTTAATATTTACATGATAATGCATTGTTCCTTAGCTTCTTCTAGGAAGACATTTTTCATATTAAATTGTTAGTTTCAATTATATTAAATTAATTATATCAAAATTAAATCATTATTGTATTTATACATATAATGTTTATGCTCATTAAACACAGAACACTTCATTGAGTTTTTATTATAAGTGAATGTTTTAGGCTTCATACATCAAGCAGCCAACGTCAACTGCAGTTGAGACCATAGAGTCATTGTAAACTCCACGATTCTTCCATTAGCTGCATAGTAGTATGCGTTTTGCCAGGGCTACAGGCAGTTTTGAATTTAGAATTGGACTGTCAACCAAGGCTGAAAATCCCAGTATGCTTCATATATAAAAGGAGTGTCAAAAAGTACTCGGTCCAACTGACTTTCCAAAATCTATTATTCCCGTGGTTTCCATAGCAAGTAGATTTTTCATGGGATGGAGTTACCAGCCCCATATTCAACTGATTTTGAATCGAAGTTGTCCTTCTCCTAGACTGATTACCAACCAAGGCTGAAAATCCCAGTCTGCTCTGTTGTTTAACCTATAGCTATGAGGAGAAGAGATGGGTTCATAGGGTATGAAAGTATGAAAGTGAATATAATGAACTTGATTAGAATTCAAACTCAGGTCACCTATTTCTTGTTCCAAGCCAGAGAAAAAGAGCAGATAGAAAGGTGGAATATCTGCTACAAGACTCTCTCCAACAGTCAATGTAGAAAAAGCATGCATCTACTGCATTAACCATCTGATAGCCTGAAACAGGCATGGAGAAACCCTTCCAAACACACTGGGCACAAATGAAGAAATAGAGTAACATATACTTAATTCAAAAGCATGGTGAATAAGAAAATTAATAGTAGTACTTATTTTAGTTAGTTGGTCCCTATTGTCTTAAAATAATCATATTGCATTTTTGTGGCAATCAGTAGAGAGAATTTGAGAAAATTTCATTTAAAATGTCACCACAGAAGCAGATTGATTTTAGCTAAAATGGAACCATAAAGGTTTACCTTTCAGAAAATAAATGCTTTACTATGTTTCTCTTGGAGCATTAAAAGCTGCAAAGCATCAAAATTTAAAAGACAAGAGAAAAATTTTCAATGTTAGTGGGTTAAAATTGGTATTGCTTTAAGAGTAGATATCTATAAATAGTCTGAAGTTAAGCCTTTTCGGTTAATTTTGAATATTTTCCTTTTGTGTTCATTAAGACAGAACTGCAGAAAAGTAGATAAAGCTATTTCTGTTGCCTTGCTCTATAACACTGGCATTTAAGACTCATATTTAGCAAATTAGCAATTTTTGATTGGCTATAATTTTTCAACTACTAAATATTTCATCATAACTTTTTTTTATTTAACATTTTTTCTCAAGTAAGAATAATCCAATTGAAGGAAATGTTTTTTTAAATATATTCTTGTGATTGCCCATCTGTGCCAAATATATATACATATTACTAAACACACACACATACACACACACACACACACACACACACACACACACATGTGTATGTGTAAACAGAAAAACTCTCACCTTAACATTTGGAGAGAAGAGATTACGTTGGGAAACCAAAGCAGCATTGAGATTGTCCGAGCAAAGGCACATCCAATAGGCAAGAAATACTCGCGATGAAAACTGGGACTGTCGACACAAGTTTTTGTAGATATTGGCTTTCAGGATGTGGTGGCCAAGTTCCAGGGTTTTTTCAGGATCCACACTGGAACATACTCGTGACAAGCGGAAGGCCATCAGACTATGACCATACCTAAAAAATAAAAGCAAAAAAATAATTTAAGTAATTCTTAATATGTTAATAAGTGATGTCTTTTGGCTAAAGTATGTCAAAAGAATGACAAATGACATATTATAACTGGAAATAAATTGAATGTATGTCTCTCTCTCTCTCTCTCTGATGTGTGTGTGTGTATATATATATATATATATATATATATATATATATATATACACACACACACATACTCCATGTGTAACACCAAAATTGTCCAAATTATGTGACAGCATAATTGGCCATTCCACAAAATGTTTAATATCTAAAAACCCATTGAATAATTGAATTTCTTTTTTCCACTGTCTTCCCAAATGAGCCATCGTGAGAGGAAAAAGATCATTCAGTAATGGTACTAACATTCAAACTTTGGCTTCCATCTTCACAGTCCATTCAAGAACCATCAAGAGAATGGTGAATAAGTTTAAAAAAGAGGGAACTGTATGAAGGAAAACTGGATCAGGAAGTCACAACAAGAAGAGGGATCATCATTTCAATTTAGAACTAAAGGGATCAATTAGAAGAGATCCAACTCAATTTATAAAATATTCGGCATGTGGGAGTTAAATTTCAGCTATGACAATCCAAAGAGCAGTGAAAAAAGACTTAAAAATGAAATCGTACATGTGTGGCACCTTTTTACTCCAGGACAAAAAGTTAAAGGGTTAGAGAGGGCAAAGATCATCTTGAATAAGTTGGAAAATGATTCTGGAATAATATATATATATATATATATATATATATATATATATATTTGAACTTAATTTCAATCATGAGCTTCCAATTCTTAGATCTTTAGCTATGATTAACATATCATTTTCATTTATAATCAATTTCATCACGATTTTGGAGAGTAATTATACATAGTTATTGCTCAAAGTGCAGTCTGATAGTGTTATAAAAACCTTGGAGAATTCCAGTAAGATATCTTGAATCATTTCTAAGATACATTTTAAAGCTTAAACTAATAAATGGGCAATTTTACTGTTACATGTATGCACACAGAATGATGAATGAGCTTTGCTAGTGTAAGGATGTATGTCAAGAAAGATTTAATTTGAATTATTTTAGCCATGTTTCAAATTGTAATTTAATAGATTTAAGATTAATACTAAATTTCTAATTGCATGTAGATATCCTTACCAAGGTCAAATAAAAACTGGGATATTTCTTATAAATGACGAAGAGTGAACTTTAGTCACACACACACACACACAAGCAAAATAATTTTAAAAAATGGTAATTTCTTAATTGCAAGAAAGGAAATACAAAAGATACAGTGAGCTCCAAAATTCAAAAGACAAATTGAATAACCCAAATTAAGAAAAGAGAAAAAAGGATATTACAAAGGAAATGAAAGACTGATTTTATAATAGTTAACAAAATCTATTCATGAAAATGTTATTTAATTAGTAAAAAAAAAACAGATTTGATGATAAATAAAAACTTTGTTGAGGTCAGAACAACAGAAATATATAGAAGCCCTATTCAGAAAATATGTAAAATGATGATGATGAAATTCAATAGTGGAAAAGAAGTTCTTTATATAAAGTTCCAATTGATGAAGTTGTTAAAAGAGGTATGAAGCATAAAATGTTGACAAAGAATGAAAACCAACAAGCTGCACTGAGTCCCTAAGGTGAAAGAAGAGAAGTTGTGGATGAATGGAGAGTTATTTCATATGAATAGTTGATAGCTTGTGACTAGAAAGAATCACCTGGAGATCAAATCCAATTTTCAAGTGATAGACATTTTGGAAGAAAAAGAATATGGTGACAACTTGAAGAAACTATGGAATGCTGTTCAAGTGAGTAAATAAAAAGCTTAATAATGCAGTTAAGCATCTTAACTACAGACTATTATTGCAATTCGAGTGGGGTTTGTAGCCACTATGAAATTGATGGCTTGAGAGGAGAAGACTAGCTTTTAGACATTGGGCAGTTAATTTTCCTATTTATAATAGAACACTGAAAAGAAGTTAAAGGAAAACATAATATGTTACAAAAGAAAGAATTCTACTATAGAAATTCAAAGAAAATTCTTATGGCAGAAATACACTGCAAACGGCTTTCACTATTAAAATGTATTGCAAAAGATTTGCCATTAATAGTAATTTAATTGAAAAATATACAATTGAAAAGCTGAGAAGGACTCACTAGGAAGAAAATCGATGGAATGATGGTGAGTTAGCTTTTATTAAAGAGATCAGAAATGAGGAAACGAAAAGGAAGTTGAGATTGAAAATGAAGAAAACAAAGCGTTTAATAACAAGAACATCAAATGTTGCAATTTCCCATGTAAACCAAACCAATCAAGAAAATTTACTAATTTCTATTATTTTCTAAAACAAAAATTAAATGATCATTATCAAGAATTAGCCTTCTAATCAACTCTGATTTGTAGCTGGTTTTCTAGTTTTGACATGACTAAATTTATCATTTACAATAGGAAAAAAGATGTTGATTAAAAGTACAACTGTTATTGTTAATTTTGAGAAAAATTGTGATTTTGTTTCATTTGAAAACAAAATTTTGAATTATTTGTATTTTTATTGTTTTTAAATTTCATAAAATATTTTTAACATTTAATCTGAAAATTTCAAGCACTTTCATGTAGAAAGAAAGAGAACAGATACAGACAAGTGTTTTTATATTTCAAAAGCAATCTAAAAGTCAAAGCAACTTGACTAATTTCACAGATTTAATTCTCCTTGCGTTTCATTAAAAGTTTTCAGGTGTGAATAAAAACTCCATTAAAGAACTGGTGAGAAGCCAGCTAAACAAATCCTTTTTCTTTATGACTTAATTTCAAGTGCAAAGAATTTTTAGTTTTTTTTATCATTGTTTTTATTTTATTTTTATAGGGTCATTAATGAATATGAAAACACATTTTATAAATTCTGATTGATTGCCTCAAGAAAAGTTGTACAGATTATTCAATCCTTTAATAATTTGTTTATCTTTCTTTTTTACTGCTAAAATATATTACTGATAAAAGTTAAATGGTTCACTTCATATATATATATATATATATAGCTGACCACTTGTATTCGAGGATACCCGTCTATTAGGGATGCTAGCCAATCCCTATTGCAGATGCTTGTTCAGGCACATTTGTGTTTGTTCTACACCCACAGACCCAACCTGTGGCTTATACTGCAACTATGCTGAGCAGACCTTAGTTACAGTTTCCGGGAGAGAGCATGTTATCTAGTGTGATCAACAATCTGAACAAGGCAGTACACTCAAGCCCTCAGTCACGATGACTTGTGACTTCGTGCTAGCACAGCTATCGATGGCCTCAAGGGTTCTGTCTACCTAGTTTCACTCACAAAGCTTGGGTCAACTCATGGTATGGTTTTCTGGCACTTTCCAAAGGTGCTGAATGCTGGGATTGCCCCCTCCAAATCAATGACATCAGGAAGACTACTGCCTGACAAATCAACTGTGGTGAGATTCAAACCCGGGTTTCATGGTAAGAAAATGAACATTCTAACCGCACACACACACACACACACACACACACACACACACACACACACACATATATATATATATATATACACACACACACATACTTGAAACTACATTGTTCCAAATTTTCAAAAACAGCTTTTCTGATATCACCAGTTCTCAAATCTTTATCTTTGTTGATGATATAACCATTTACTCTTGTCTTAATAGTAAGTCTGATGAGTTTGATAAGCTCAAATTGGCAGTTGATTTAAAAAACGACCTACAATCTGTTGTTAACTGGGAAATAGAATAGCTTATTAATTGTAATGCCTCCAAAATAAAACTGCCCTCTTTTAATTGTCTGAGAGAATCCTTTCTGCCTTCAAACAGCTTGGCTGATGTTAACCTCCAGTGGAGCGACTCGTTGTGCCTTCTCGAACTAATGTTTTCTGCTAAACATGAAGTGAAAAGATTACATTGAATTGCTAGGTCTCTTGCTAGGAAAGTTAGTTCAACAATTTTTCTTACCAGAATCTATCTTACATACTTATAAGTCTACCATTCACCCTTGCTTTGAATATTGATACCATATCTAGTATGGTGCTTCTGTTATAGATTTGGCAATTTTTGATAAAATCCAAAGAAGAATTGGTTATTATTGGTTCTGACCTGGCATCTCAACTTCAGTCCCTTTCTCACTTCTATACTTTCATGGTTCTGATGAGCTTTCCTCTATGGTACCTAGACTTTATGAATTTAGGCACAATACTAGATTGATGGCTAGGTCTCATCATTTCAGAGTTGAAATGGTTAGATGTAACCATAAGTTCTATGCTAACAGTTTCTTCTATCACACTTCTTGCTAATGAAACTCTCTTCCAGCTTCTTGCTTCCCAGTCAAATTTGATCTTCAAATATTAATTGTTATCTTTTGTCTTTTTAATTCCTGTTTTTTTATTGTTCTCTCTCCTTAATAGTGAATGAATTCTCTCACATTCAGTAACCCCTTGTGGTTTTATTGGCTGGCTTGGGTTAATATTATATATATATATATATATATATATATATATATATATATATATATATATATATATATATATATATATATAAGAATGGGAGTACAATTTTACTAAAAAGATCAGTAATTCTGTCTGAAAGATTAGTCTTGTCATTTGTTGTCATAATTTTTCAAAAAAAGATTGACAGATTAAAAATAAAGAAAATCTAAGGTGATTATTTATGTTATGTTATTCATAATTTTCACTTTACATTTCATTTAGTAAGAGAATAATGTTTACAATCTGACACATGAATGAAAATAAATTAAATTATTGATCACATTAGGATTAGTTTAACACATTATTGTTGATATTATTTGCAGGTCCTTGCTTATTTTCTTTTTTTGTTAGCTATTAAGAAATAGAGTTTGCTTTAAGTCACACTTTTACCATTTGAAAGGGAATATATTTTAGAACAAGCACAATGTATTTTTGAGAACATTTCAGTTTTTAGGTAACAATTATG